ATAGACTATTATGGAGATTGATTTTGGAATTTAGATGCACTGTTATCAATTGTGCTTAGCCGTACATGTTCATATCCTTGAAGCTGTATCATGGATGTGTTGATAGATAACAATTTGTGTTTTACATGTCATTTGTAAGATGAAGTTCTGTAGTAAGAATTTCTGGAAAAGTTGAAATGTTACAATTTTTTAAAAATTAATTTTAATGAAAGTTTACAGAGACTTAGGGTTTCCAGTCATTCATTATTGCGTTTTTTCTCTGTGCCTACCCCCTCCCCCCAATTAACTTTTCTCCTTGATAATTAAAAGAAAGACCTCTTTTATTGCTGTGTAATCCCTCCCCCCAAGTTCACTGCACTGTGCAGCCTTCATTCTGGACTCCTGTCATGACAATAATACCTAATCATATATCCCTTGAAGACTCTCCTTCATAGGGTCGCTATGAGTCGCCTGCGACTCGACGGCACTTAACAACATATCCCTTTTAAACAGTTCTCTCCCTCATCTGTTGCAATGGAGTATACATAATTCCTCCCCTTCTTCACTGTCTTCCGTCAACCCCAGTGTCAGTCCTGTTTGACAATAGTGGCCCTATGCAATATTTGTCCTTTTGTGACTGAGATAGTTCACTCAGCATAATGTCCTCTAGGGTCACCCATTTTGCATAAATATTTCATGAGTTCCTTGTTTTTCAGTGCAGCATAGTATTCCATTGTGTGAATATACCACAGCTTCTCTTTCCATTCGTGTGTTGATGACCACTTGGATTGTTTCCAACTCTTTGCTATTGTGAACAAAGCCACAATAAACATGGGTGTGCATATATCTGCCTGGGTGGCTGTTAGAGTTTCTTTAGGGGAAATGTTAATTCTTTTTCATCACCACCGCCCCCGAGTCCCCTGTAACACATCTTTATTTTGTTGATGAGTACATAGTAGATGTGGGATGCGGGAATGCACATTTTTAGCTTCTGTCAGTGCTGCCTTATTGTTATTAGGTGCTGCTGAGGCGGCTCTGATTCATAGTCAACCCCCTGCAAGAGAAGAAACCCCTGCCGGTCCTGCACCATCTCCACGGTCTCTGCTGTGCCTCAGCCGGTTGTAGCAGCATTGTCAGTCCATCGCCTTGAGCATCTTTCTCTTTTCTGATGACCCTCTGCTTTACCAAGCAGGATGTTTTTCTCCAGACTCCCTTCTGATAGAACATATGCGAGATGAAGTCCCGCCATCCTGTCTTCCAAAGACCGTTGTGGTTGCCCTTTTTCCAAGACAGATTTTGTTCTTCTGGCAGGGCATGGCCTGTTCAGTATTCTTTGTCATCATCAAACAACAAGCACATCAATCCTTCTTCAGCCTTCTGTTTTCAAGGTCCATCTTTCACATGCTTGCGAGGCGATTGAAAATACCATGACTTGGGTCTGGCAGCCCTTGGTCCTCAAACTAACATCCTTTGTCCTTAGGACTGAAAGAGGTTCTTGGCAGAACATTGTGCATTACAGCATGTTGGGTTTTGTTTTTGTTTTTTCACTGCTGTTTCTGTGAGAAAGATCCAAGTTGTAGATCCAAGTAAAATAAAATCCTTAATAACTTCCATCTTTTCTCTGTTTATCATGATGTTTATTGTTCCAATATGAAGATTTTAATTTTCTCTATAGTAAGATGTATTTCAAGCTGAAGACCCTGGACTTTATGCTTTCTTAGTAAATGCTTCAAATCCTCTTTGTTTTCTGTATTTTTCTATTAGTTGGATATATGGCTTTCTTACTTGTAAAATGCCAGGTGGTCAGATATAATGGTTATGCAAGCCAGGGAATTCAGCATTGTAATCTGAGCTTTGCACTTAATTTCATAATTTGGAACGAGCCATTTGTCTGTTGCTGTATATTTTTTGCTGAGGGGCTGTCCCTTCGAGAGGAACATCGTGCTTGGAAAGGTGGAGGGGTGGCGAGGGAGAGGAAGACCTTTAGCCAGGTGGATTGACACAGTGACTGCAGCAGTGGCTTCAGTGTGTCAGAGACTGAGGATGGCACAGGAGAGGACAGGGTTCAGATCTGTTCGTAGGGTTGCTATGAGTTGAACTTGACCCGGTGTCACATAACAGCAACAGTAAGTGTGTCTAAATTGGAACACTACCATCTGCTGGTCTATTGAAGGGGCTGTTGATAATTAGTGATTTGCCATCTCCTTCATCCTGACGCACAGTGACTCAGGTGTGCAGAATAGAATCACTCCATAGGATGGTCAGGGCTATGACCTTCTGGAAACTGATTGGTCACTAGGAAGTTACCTCTGGCATCGGTTTGCGCCTCTAATCTTTTGACTAGTAGTTGAATGCTGAAGCTTTTACGTCGCTCAGGAACTCCTAATAATTACTAGGAATTTTTAAAAATTTATTCCTGGCTATGAGTGCTACACACTCAACACTCTCGGCACCAGCAGCCAGGAAATTAGAGGACGTATTGCCATGGGAAAGTCTGCTGTTAGGGACCTTGCCAAATTACTGAAGAGCAATGGTGTCTCTTTGGAGACTAAGGTGCGCCTGATACAGGCCATGGTCTTTGCTGTCACTTGTTATGTATCAGAGAGTTGGACAGTGACTAGGGAGGATAGAAGGAGAATTGATGCCTTTGAGCTGTGGTGCTGGAGAAGAGTATTGAGGGTACCATGGACTGCTAGGAAAACAAACAGATTCATCCTGGAAAGGGTCAAACGGGCTGCTCCTTGGAGGCAAGGATTCTGAGGCTCCGTCTGACATACTTTGTACATGTTGCAAGGAGGGACGGGACAGTCCTTGGAGAGGGACATCATGCTTGGTAGGGTTGAGGGACAGCGCAGAAGGGAAAGGCCCTCTATGAGGTGGGTTGATTCAGTGGTTGGGGTAATCGGGATGGGTGTGTCGGAGACGGTGCGATTGGCACAGGACAGAGCGGAGTTTAGGGCTGTTGTAAATAGGGTCGCTAGGAGTCGCAAGCGACTCGACGGCACATAACAACAACATGAGTGCTTCAGAGGAAGCTCTGATGAGGTTGTCAGTCACCTAAAGGTGGTTCACCCCAGGTGGTTCAAATCTATTGCCTGTAGGAGAAAGATGGGCAGTCTCCCCTTGTGATTTACAGCCTCTGAAAATCCATTGGATGGTCCGCTGTGGATCATTCCAACTTGATGGCAGTGAGTTTTTGAGTCTGAGACGGCTGCTTTAAAGAGTGTTGGTAATACAATAGTTAAGCACTTTGCTACGATCCAAAAAGTCAGTGGCTGAACCCAGCAGCTGCTCTGTCTGTTCCTGTAGAGATCACGGCCTCGGAATCCCTGTGTAACAGTTCTCTGTTCTCATGGCAGACTTGTCATGAGTTGGGGTTGACTCGATGGGCACACAACAGGAGTGAGTGCCAGAGTGCGTGGGCAGGACGCATTGTCTGACCCTAGGAATGCACTTACAGGTCAACGCCGTGGGCTTGTGAGTTTCCACTTAACTTGGTAGAACCCACTTGAATAGTTGCTTTTCCCTTTTATCTTGGAGCATTCTGAGGTGCTTACCAAGCCTGTGACTGATGAAGTATGTTATAAAAAGAAAAAATAGAAACCACTCAACTAACAAACAGAATCAGCCAACAAAGCAGAAGATGCATTTACCTAAGATTTTGTCTCACTGTGTTTTGAATTTCTTCATTTATCTAAAAAGTAGGATGACAGTCTTGATAAATGTTTTTGCTGCTGGCTGACCCATGAGTAGGTTTTCAGAGGCAGTAAATTTGCACTGGAGGAGATTGCCCATCTTTCTCTCACAGAGCAGCTGGTAGATTTGAACCACCTGCCTTTGGGTTGGCAGTGCAATTCCTTACCACTAAGCCACCAGAATTCACATGATAAATGAGTAGTGTCAAAGCTTTCGTCAAAGCTGGTGGCTTTATGTGGAGCTGCTGTTAGATTTAAACGAGGGAAGCTCAGCCTTTGGGTTAGCAGAGTAATTCCCTGCAGACTTGTCACTAGAGCTTCCTTTTATTCATAGTTACTGTTACACACCGTTGAATCTGACTTAACTCATACTGGTTTTTAGTGGTAGTAAATCCCCGTGAGGAGACTGCCTCTAGCAGACCAGTGGGTAGATCTGGACTGTGTTTCTTTGGCTTGACAGTGCAGCTCCTTACCACTAGGCTACCAGAGTTCCCTTTTTTCGAAGGTCTTCATTACAGCCTCATTTCTTGTAAAATTGTCTCTCCTCCTTGAAAGACACCAGTTCTGTAGTTAGTCCCTATTAGGTTTCAACCATCTGTGTATCTTCTGTCACCAACATGGCCTTGCTTTGATTACTGTTCCTTTATAGTCCCATGTGACTTATAGCAACCCTGTGAACAATGGTTGGAACCCTGGCCTATCCTGTGCCCTCCCAAACATCTCTGATACATTTTAGCCCATTAGTGTATTCACTGGGTCATTTAGTGAGTGTCTTCATTCAATCATCTGGTTAAGGGTCTTCCTGTCTTTTGCTGCACTTTCCAAGCAAGCATGCTGTCCCTCTCCAAGAAATAACTTCTCCTAGCAAAATGCCTGAAGTCATTGCCAGTGTTAATATTTATCTATCATCCTATTACCTACTGATCCAGTGGTGAGAATTTTTGTTCTCTTGATGTTGAGATGTAGTCCATATTAAAGCTGTTGTCTTTGAACTTCTGCAGCAACCACTTCAAGTCCTCCTCATGTTTCGCAAGCAAGATTGTGTCATCTGTAAAACTCAGCTTGTTAACTCTGATCCTGTTGCCAGTATTCTTCTTCATAGAGTCCCGCTTCTCTAATGAATTGCTCGACATACTGACTGAATAGTTATGAAGACAGAATATAACACTGATGCACTGATGTTTAATTTTACCATGTTTGTGTTCCCTTGCTCTGTTCACCCAGCAGCCTTTTGGTTTATGTATAGATTTCTCATGACCACAAGTGCGTGCTCTGGGACTATCATTCTTCTCAATGTTAGCCACAGTTTGTTATGATCCACACAGTCAAATGCCTTTGCATAGTCAGTAAAGCACAAATAGACATTCTTCAGGTATTCTTTACTTTCATCCAGCACCCATCTGACATCAGTAGTGATATCCCTGGAACCATGGCCTCTTCTAAACCCAGCTTTAACTTCTGGCAGTTTTCTGTCAATGTGTTGTTCCAGCTGTTTTTTAAAGATCTTGAGCAATATTTTGCTTGCATGTGGTATTAATGTTATTGTTCGATAATTTCCATGTTCTGTTGGATCACCTTTTATAGGAATGGGAACAAATATGGATCTCTTCAAGTTGGTCAGCCAGTCAGCTGTCCTCTAAATTTCCTGGCACAGGGTGGTGAGCTTGTCTTGGACTGCATCTGTTTGTTGGAACGTGTCAACTGATATTGCATCAATTCCTGGGGACTTATTTTTGGCCAGGGCCTTCAGTGAACCTTGAACGTCTTCCTTCCTCACCACTGGCTCTTGATCATACCTTTATAGAATGTCTTAAAATCAAGCAGTGTGAGTCCTCCACCTTATTTCCTCTTTTCCAAATTGTTTTGGCAATTGTAGTTCCCTTACCTTTCCACTTAACATTTGAAAGTCAGCTTGCTCATATGTGCAAAGAATATTGCTGAGATAAAATTGGGGAGAACTGACAAATGTAAATTTTAGCCTGCTAACCTTATTAGCCTGATGTGTCTCCATTTTATATCAAAGATCTTCTTTGATATAGCTCATTTTTTTATAGTTTTGAGCATGCATATTATTATTATTATCATAATTTTAAATCTTTTACAGGGTAGATTCTGGAAATGGGAAGTGAAGAAGAAAAGTGGGAGAAGCTGGATGCAGAATTTGATCATTTTGTTGTTGACATGAAGCCCTTTGTTCTAAAGTTATCCCACAGGTCAGGTAAGATTGTCTGAAAATTAGATTCTTTAAGATGACAAATAAATATGACAAAATGTTCAAAATCCCTAGGTATCAGAGAGGTGCAAATCAAAACAACTATGAGAAATCATCTCACCCCAGCAGTAATAGCAAAGTTCAGTAGGGCCACAAACAGCAAATGTTGGTGAAGTTGTGGAAAGATTGGAACATCCTATTCATTGCTGGTGAGAATGTAACATGGTACAACCACTACGGAAGGCGATCTGGCACTTTCTCCAAAAGTTGGAAATAGAAATACCATTTGATCCAGTAATCCCACTACTGAGAATATACCCTAGAGAAACTTGAGCCATGACTCCAACAAATGTATGCACACCCATGTTTTTTTGCTACGTTACTCACAATAGCAAAGAGATGGAAACAGCCCAAGTGCCCATCAACAAACAAATGGACAACAATCTGTGGTACATTCACACAAACTATGGTATAGTCACACAGTGGAATACTGTACAGCATTGAAAAACTTGTAAAAGTACACAACATGGATGAGCCTGGAAGACAGTATGCCACGTGAAATATCTCAGTCACAAAAGGACAAATGCTGCATAACATCACACCACTGTTATAAAATAGGACTGACATGGGTTGGAGATAGAGAGAATCGGAAAAGAATGAATGATAATGAACACTACGTTGGAATGGATGAGGACTGGAACTGTCTGTAAAGAATATGTTGTTGTTGTTTACTGTAGAGTTGAAACTGGTCCATAGCAGACCCTCCGGTGGGTTTTCAGAGGCAGTTAATCATGTGGGAGGAAGTTTCCCATCCTTCTCCCATGGAGCAGCTGGTGGCCTCAAACTGTGTGCCTTCAGAATGAATGTATGATTAGGCACCATATGTATGACAAGACTCTGGAACAGGAGGTGCATTGCAAAGTGGACTGAGGGAGGGGAAAGAGAAGGAAAAAGGGGAAAATGTACAACGATGAAAGAATGAAAACCCAACCTTACTGGAAACTTTTGTTAAAAATCATGATATTATAAAACGCATTTCATTAAGTCTCCCCGTGGAAAGCTTATTCTATTGCCATTGGAATAAACATCATTACCCTTAAAAAAGAGATTAATTTTTTTTCCATTTGCAGTGTAGTCAAAGTAATGAGCCATCAAAATGGAAAGAAATGGAATTCCTTTACTAGTAGTTTTCATCTTAAATAGAGACTCAAGAGCAAAGCATAAATTGCCATTTGAGAGTAAAGGAAAATTTAGTGACAGTGTTGTATTAAGAGACAGAAAGGTCTGTGACAGCGTCTCTGCATGTTCCATTAACTTGTTGTGCACTTCTGTGTTTAGCTCACACTTCCTGCATTTTCCCCTCCTTAGGTGGAAATGCTTCCTCTTTGCAGAGCTGTTAGCATGTGCTCTGATTCTTCTGTTTATGAAACAGGACAGAATCTATTGATTTTTTAAAAAAATTTTATTTATTTATTTATTTTATGTCTGTACCGTCAAATTGGATCTGACTGGTACAGGAGGTGATTGTTCCTCCTTCTTCAGCAGAGCATCTGGTGGATTTGAACCGCACACCTCTGGGATTGCAGTGCAGTTTCCTGCCACTAGGCCCCCAGAGCTCGCCAGAATTTATTGATCTTTTTATGCTTGTGCGTCGACCAAATAAATTGTGAATGATTTTTTGTTGCTGTCTTGTTCTTATTCCTTGGCCTGTTACCTGTAATTATAGAATGGAAGCCTTGATCTTCAGTTAAAGAATTTTCAGATAACTTAAGACAGTAGGGGGCAATTAAAGAGAATTTGGGAAACTTGGAAGATTCTTCATATCTTTGCAGGCAGAAGTCAGTCTACCTAAACAGAGTTTATCTGGTTTGGCAGCTTGGATTGGAGTAAAAACTATGGCTTACACTCTTCCCAAAGTCCCAGTTTGTGGGAATGGTCTAAGCAGATGTGTGCTTGAAGTGAGACCCCAATTCAATATAAAGTGTTCAGTTTGGGAAGCTATGCTGGGAGAAGGGAGCGCTCACCCATTGTATGGGGGGCTGTAGCTTTCCAGGTCCAGGCTGGCCCAGCTTCTCTTCCTGTTAAGCCCCTTCCTCAAAAGGTTAAACCCTTTGCTCTTGACTTGTGGGACCTCTTCTTCTTTACATGAGTATTCTATGCCTATAATGCATTCAGGATTATCTGAGTAATATTTTAATGATATTTACTGTAACTTTGTCTTTTTTTGCCTTAGATAGGCTGACTGTAAAACTTTGAAAAAAACTTTTGAAAAAATTTTAAAACAAATTATCCTCACATTTTATCTTTAAAAGTGGATATTAGACATATAGAATTGGGCCAATTTTAATATTTTGTTTATGGCACATTGTCACTACATTAGTTCTTCTATGTACCTTATTGAATTAATTTATAATAAACACTTGCAATCTAAACAATAATTCATAATGACTTGAATCTTCTTATAGCTAAATTTCACCTTGATACTCTTTTTCCTCCATCGTTGTACGTAAAGAGGCATGTTGTTTTCATTAGCCAAGTGAGTGTACAAAAGTATGAACATTGGAATAACCTATAGATTTCTTTCATCTACTTTGCTTGTAGCATGAGTGAAAAAGATGTGATTTGGAAAAACAGTTAAAATTCAGAGATAATTGGTTTCATTTTGTGTTTATTCTCCTGGAAAAGTATGCCAAATATTTCATAAAGGTTGCTTTCTGATTATATAATTTTTAAAAGGAAAATAAAAATTCTTTAGAGATGTAACTATTATACCTGTAATGTTATTTGCAAAGTGGTAAATCTGATCCCAGTGTTTTTTGAAGGTAAAGCAGTAAATGAAAATGACCTTTCAAAATGAAAAGATAAAGCAGGCTTCTGATTTGTGGTAGACATATAATCCTCAAATTGAGTGAGACTGATAAGAGATTAATATCAAAATAATTTTCCTAAGACCTGAAAACAATGTTGTGTTGTGGCAAGATAATATAACCATTAGGTCATTAAATAAGGATGAAACTGTTGTGTATATTTTGGGGAAATTTTTAAAGGTATAAGTGTTTTATGAAATGAAATAAATATAAGTGGCACTCAGTTATTTTAGGGATGTTAAAATAAAGCCCTAAATAAATCAGCTACAAATCCCTCGAAATTATCAGCTTTAAAAAATAAAATGTTTGAGATTTAATTTTAGAGTACGTTTAAAATGCTGAAATAAATCTGGGATTGCATTTTGTCTCCCTCTAGGTTTGTATAATTAGAATTAGAGAAAGATTTTTCAGTAAAATTAAAATTAGCTATGCTTTTAGAGCAGAATTTTATCTTGGAATTTTATTTGCTGACAGGCTAGGGTTGTGTTTGTGTGTGTATGTATGTGAGGGTGTTGTTTTTGTTTTTGTTTTTTTTTTTTATTTGCCCTATTCTGTAGTCGTTTGGTGTTGTAGGGTTGGACTACTAACTCAAGGTCAGTGGTTCAAATCTACCAGCTGCAACATGAGAAAGATGGGCATTGTCATCTGGTAAAGATTTTACAGCCTCAGAAAACTGATGGGGGGATGCCCTGAATTGGAATCGACCAGATGGCAGTGGGCTTGGTTTTTGTTTGATTAGAAACAATTGACTAATACAGCTTAAATCTAGTCTAGGAATGAGCAAACTCTGGCCTCTGGGCCAAATCCAGCCATTTACCTTTTTTGTAAACAAAGTTTTGAAGCCCAGCCGTTATAATTTGTTTGCACATCATCTGTGGTTGCTAACAATGATAGCACTGAATAGCTGTTAACAGTGATCATCTGGCTCAAAAATCCAGAAATATTTACTACCGGCCCTTTTCACAAAAGGTTTGCCAATTTTGCCCCAGACATCTCAACTGCTGTTGGGTTGTGTCGGATCTTAGTGGTCCTCTGCTGGATTTCTACGGCTGGAAATCCTCGTGGAAGGAGATAACTCATCTTTTCCCAAAGAGTGACTGAAGATAAGAAGAGCTGACCTTTTGGTTAGTGGTGTGAAACGTTATACCCTAATGCCACCAGAGTTCTTTTAGAGGTCTTCTAAAGGTTCAGAGATCTTTGTAACTTAATGTTATGTTCTCTGAAAAGCAAAATCAAATCTTTCACAGTTCTTTTGCATTTCTAGAACGTCAGAGGTGTGCTCTTTGGATTAAAAAACTGTGCGAGCCTTCAGGCACAGGTATAGGAATAATGGGCCGGAAGAATCGGAACCTCTATGCAAAATTGTTACTGCACATGCTCAAGCGAGGAGTGCTCGAAGGCCCCTTCGCACATCGGCCCCAGCCAGGGACGCTCAGAACTTTACCCTCCTACATGGTAGGTGCCACTGCTCAAGAGGTGGGTTCACCTCTTACCTTTAGAAGCAGGTGTCTGTTGATCATCCTTTTTGGGAAGCCAGTAATGATTTATCAGGTCAACCTTTTGTTTTCTTTTTCTCTCCGTTCCATTTTTTTTCTGCCTTAAATAAATAATATGTATTGGTCTTTAAGGAGCCTTTGAACTTCTCGGGGTGGGGGTGGGGGGGGGGAAGGACTGTCTCCTTCCATAAAGATACCCCTGCTTTAATTTCATTATCAAAGTGAACTTGTTACAAAGGCAGTTAGTCTTACTTGATGAGTTGTCATTATCTTGGTCTTTAAACCAAGATAACAAAAAAAAAAGAAAGAAAACTCTAAATCCACATTAGACTCACAGTGCCTTATGGTAGGACCGCCCTGCACTGTGCAGCAGGAGTCTGGGGGTTTGAACTGCCAATTGTTTTGCTAGCTGCCAAGTATTTAAGCCCTGCACCGCCAGGACTTCTTCCTTGGTCTTTACATCTATGAAATATGCCTTGTTTTTTTAATACTTCAGAAACCTGGCCTATTGGTCGTTCACATTCATAGGATCAAAGAGAAGGACTCGACTTAATACTAGTAAGATGGCTCAGAAGTTGATCTTGATTTTTCCAGCTATTAGAGCTGATGGCACCATCAACTAAATTCTAGGTCCTTCTCGTCATCAGGGCTTTGTTCCTGAACCATCAAGAGATTCATAATTTGTGATTTGTGTTGATTGAGATTTCTCTCCTCATTTTTTTCCTTTTGTAGAAAGCACTTGATTATTTCAGAAAGAAATAGAAGGAGCACATAGTTTTTAAAAATAAACTTGTGTTCATCTTTTGATAAAACAAATTTAGGGAGTTCTAGTGGCCTAATGGTAAGGAGCTCCACTGCCAACACAAAGACACATGGTTCAAATCCACCTGCTGTTCTGTGCAGTGAAGATGGGCAGTCTCTTCCTATTTGATTTACTGCCTCTGAAAACCCACCAGAAGGTCAACTCAGGGTCGAGTCTAACTCGATAGCACATAACAACAACAATAATAGTTATTTTATAATGCAAATAATTATTGTCAGATTTATTTGATTGCAGTCCAGTAATTTATTATCACATTTTCTTATTCATTAATTGTAAATGAAATGTAAATCTTATCAAGTTTATGTATTTTAATATTTTATATTCATTATACATGGAATAATGTATTTCTTATGTATTCAAGTGATTGAATGTTTTAAAGATGCTTATCAAACTTGAAAATTGATGGAAATTTTAACAAGTTGTTACATATGAAAAGAAAAATTTTTCTTATTTCTAAAAAATCAGTCCATCTATTTTGATGAGCCGAATTCTGCACAAAAAAAATGTCCAAGTCCAGAGGGATTACCGGACTGGGTCATGGGTGAGCTGGGCACAAGTGACCACAAATCAGATGAATCATGGAAACTGTCTTCTGGAGAGGCCAGTGCTTTGGTGCAGTCGCCGCCAGCTGAAGGCCACAGGTAGGTCACGCAAAAGAGGTTGGGAAAGTGTTTTATCACATAGTGTAGCTTTGAACTGGCTTATATGTTCCATTTTTTATGGTTCATAGTTGGTTTACTTCAATTTTTACTAAGGTTGAGGACAATGAGTAGACTTTGGGTTATGCTTTTCCATTTACTTTATTCAAGATTATTTTACACTTCCATTCCTGTCAACAAGATATATATATATATAATGGGATATCAACAAGATATATATATATAATGGGATATATATATATATGAAATGGAATATGTATATATGAAATGGAATGTATATGAAGGAATATATAATATATAAAAAACATA